TTGTACGTCACGTGTAGCAAGATTTTAGTAAATATACAAACGAGTTTTACACTATGCCGTTATATAGATTTAAAAATAATTAAACAATACGAGACACAAATGCATCATCTTTAGCTCATTGGGGTGCATATAGTTTCCTGCTTGTTTTCTTTAAAAAATTAATAATTTGTGTTACCGTGATTTTCAAGTAACCGACCGATTTTCATGTAGCCGACCGATTTTCATGTAGCCGACCGATTTTCATATAGCCGACTGATTTTCATGTAGCCGACCGATTTTCACGTAACCGACCGATTTTCATATAGCCGGCCGATTTTCATGTGACCGACCGATTTTCATGTAGCCGACCGATTTTCATGTAGCCGACCGATTTTCATATAGTCGGCCGATTTTCATGTAGCCGACCGATTTTCATGTAGCCGACCGATTTTCATGTAGCCGACTGATTTTCATGTAACGGAGCAATTTTCAAGTAGCCGACCGACTTTTTTTCAAGTAGCAGAACGATTTTCAAATAGCCGACGGATTTTCATGTAGCGGACTAATTGTATATATGGGCCACCGTACAGAAACGCACACACGAGTGCTATTTCCATATATCTTGGCAAAGAAAAAAACACTGGAAGGGACAAGTTTCAATCATGTTTGTATTAACGTAACACGAAAGCAACGGCGAATATATGTTTATCAATCATCAAACTAAACATTCAATGCTATAGACACGGAGCGGACTGCGGCGGTTATGTAGCTAAGACGAAGGACATGCGACAGTTTTATTATTCTGCTCGTCTACTTCATGTTCGAGTAATTTTCCGATAAAAACGTGATTAGTATCAGCAATAATTTCTAGTACTGCATGGAGAATTGCGTATTATTAGTTGTCATCAGACATATGTCTAAAATTTCCGAAAGAATATTCGAATACAAGTTGGGGCATAGACCTTAGAATATGTATTTCAAGGTCTATGGTTGGGGTGAATATGAATTGAATATCCATATGATCTTTTGAAAAATCAGCGAAACAGTTCACAACCACGATTGTGGTGAATTGAAGAATTTTCATGAGCAGAGTTTGCTGCGTCATGAAGTCAACATTTTACAATGTTGAACACTACTTTTCGTTCTCGACATAATTGAAATTATTTCGTTTTTTAGGGAAAAAAAAAACTGAAAAAAAAGAAGATTTTGACAAGATAATTCAGAAATTTATATTAAGAATAATTCATACCGAAATGTATTCCATATGCACCCATACATATTACAGAAAATAATTTGCGATATTCTTGTTTGCACGTCATGTTAACAAAATCGCAGACAATTATTTGTAAGGAGTGCCCGGTACATAGCGTGTTCTCACACGAGCATAATTTTGCTCGAGTTCACTCATCGCTTTCCCACATGCACAGTGCGTTTGAAAATAGCATAATTATATTGCGTGAGTGGCTGATGAGAATCTACAACGCGTTCTATTTATTTCCAAACGCGCGTTATCGGCGCCTCTGATTGAGTTTATTTTGTATTTTTATTTTCGAAATGTAGCACTCGCTGCGTTTATTTTGTCATGTCTCGCAACTGAACGTCCAAGCTGACTCTGTTTATATTATATACATGGCTTTTTACACAAACCTAATCACATCTGTGCATTAGTCTAGAGCATCATGAATGGATCTTTAGATATCAGTGGAACGGACGGACAGACACGGTAAGCGCAAAGACTCCCATTGTGTGCTCCGCACACGGGAGTCAAAAAAGAATAGGTTATGTTTAAAAGTTGCTTACCCCTGGTAGTCATAAAATGGTAAACTTTCCAAAGACAGGTTACCAATAATTGCAGACAACTTTAAAATTCACATTCAAAGTACTTCTTCACATTTTCTAGAAAAGTTTCTTTTCAAAGCATTCTTTTCTGACTTTTTCATAATTATGCACTTCTAATTCTTCACAAACTACCAGTTCCTGAAAATATTCCTGTCTTTCAAAACGACTTTCCCAACTGTTATAAACTACTTTTCCGACTTTCCCATGAACTATTTATGTCAGTTTGATGGTCTTGGATAACTAAGTTGTAGTTAGTCAATTGCAATAATTAGGAGACACTGTTTATTAATTTAATTATTTATTACATATTGAAAATATATCAACTGTATCCACACTGTTTATACAGTAAATAAGTATGCATAAGGTTAGATAGGGAAAACGTTATACTGAGCCTTTCTGTGTTTGTATACCTGTATGCATTTTTTTTTCTCTTGAACATTTTGCATGAAAAATGTGTCAAAGCAATTTAGTACAAGGATTCGAAGAAAAACTTGAAAACAATAAACAATCAGTAATATGAATGGCTCTGCTTGGTCATCTCAGTTGACAGCAGAGCTAATAATCTTTAATGATAATTGGTTTCTATGCTAACTGATAGTGTGCATTGGAATGTACATTAGAAGCTAATCAGTGAGAGAAGTTATTAATATAATAGAGTTGATGAAGAACCTTGCCTGTGCATAATCTTTGCAATGATTGGGTGGCTATTTATTTTCATCACAATATTCATCTTTCATATTTGAACATGACACTGAAAGCTTCACCGCCGAGTCTATTAGCTAACCATTTGTTTTTTAGAACAGCAAGTTTAAGTGACTCGCATGTAAAACTAGCTTCTAAATTGGTATGTACTGCACGACCCATTCCTTCAAAGATCAGCAGATCTGCCTTTCTGCACTGTTCAGCCAATTCTTGATCCACTCGACTACAGACAAAGAGTGAAAACAAACTGTTATAATATGACTTTGTAATCATTGTGATTACATGTATCCACCTTGTGTCAATTCTTAAAATACATTACATTACTGTAACAATTCATCTGAAGTGATTCAGAGACTTGAGGGCAGGCAGGCACCTACAGTCTGTCTTGATTAGAAATGAAAAAATTAATATGCAAATTAGCTTCTTAATATGTATGAACATGACTCTAAAATAATTATGTTTGCAAAATTTTTGGGATTTGGCTATCACAGCCTAAAAACAATTAAATCAATATGCAAATTAGCTACTTAATATGCACATACATGGCCCTAAATCTAGTCATGTTGCACATTACCACAAAATTTTATAAAAATCTGCTCAAAAAGATTTTGCTTACAGACTGAGAAAATTAATATGTAAATTAGCTACTTATTATGCACTTACATAACCTTAAAATAAAAATACCTTACACAAAATAATCCCTTGGTATTTTTTTCACACAGGCTTAAATGAGAAAATTAATGTTCAAATTAGCTACTTAATATGCACAAACATGACCAAAAGCGTACCAAAACAGTTTTGGGGATTTTGCTTCCACGAACAGGCAGACACACCAAACTTGCATGCATGGGAGCTAAAAATGTGTGTGGTGTCTATGGAGACTACATATACCTTAAATCCAGGCATGGTGATGCAGATCCTGATTCCAATAGTGTAAGACGGTTTTCATCTACAGCTAAACAGATATCAGAATCTAATTCTGTTACTCTTTTAATGACTATCCTTAGCTCATTGTGTGTTATGTCATTCAATGCTGGTCCTGAGTTGGCTGATAAAATCACCTGAAATGAAAATAAAAGTTGTAAATTTGTCTTTAATGGTCTTGTTGTAAATATTGGTGTGTAGTGCCCTCAGTAGTAATTGCAAATAATAGAGTTTATCACATCTCACTGTTGTTACGCATGCTGTGATTGGTTGAGACTTGGCCACATGACGTTAAATAAAAATGGATATTACATGGGTATATCAAATGAATTACATCACTGAAACTACTGCGCATAACAAATAGTTGTTCGCTGCATTGGTGCTGCCCCGGCCACTGTTGTTTTTTTGGGTTGCTTTAAGGGTTTTGAAGGAACTTTAGCCATCCGAAATAGACAGCGAACATGCCAGAATGGCACTCTGACATTTTTATGTGGTGAGTGGTCAAATAACTTGTGTTTGAGAACTTCTCAATTCATTTCAAAAATGTTATACTCAATAAATTGAGTGATTCACACTGCTAAAACACGGTTACTAAAAGGAGTATTCATGGCTGAAAATAACATTTACTGAGTGTATTTTGCAGTTTTGTCAGCAAACAATGTATGTATGTTATTGAGTAATGTAAAACTTGTTATAATAGACAAAATTAAAGATAGCATACTTGAAATATAAGTGTTGTTATTTTGTGGGAGAGCGAGTGTGAGTGATGACTGCTCGATGTGATAAAATAAATAACACATGGTCATTTGGGTTCTGGCATCATTAATGTTATGGTTATGATCACCATCCCTAGGGCAGGCAACAAATCGTGATACCGTACTTCCCCGAGTATAAGCCCAGGGGCGTGAACATGTAAAATTGGAAAAAATAAGAGGTGGGCTTATACTCGAGGACCACCTCAGAAAAAAATAATTTGTTGGTGCATTAAATATTGTAACCATCTTCCCAGCCTCGAAACATTATCCAAATAACACTGATTTCGACAAAAAAACAGTGACTTTTTTCCCTAAAAGTTGTTGATTCGCAATTTTCAAAAGGTAAACTGAGGGTGAGGAAAGTATTTAAATTTTTCCTGGCTGCCAACAAGTCATGTCGAAGAATAGTTTGCTCGTTCACACCCCATTCAGGATAGTCTCAATGGACAAGATTATTCGGAAAAGTAAAGCGATGATAGTGACGAGGTTTCACAACTTGACGATCACATTTTTGCTGTTAGGAAAACTACTACTCAAAAGAAATATGGATTATTTCAGTATTGAAACATCAGGGTTCATTCAGAGTAAATAACAGAATAGAAAACGTGTGAACTATGTACGTTTGCCGCCGTGCACTCTCAAATTAAAGCGAGTTTTACAATCATGATTTTTATGCAATGAAATACACTTTTTACATGCATATTTTAATAAATGTCGTCGACGCCCGGTAAAAACACCCTGGGCCTATACTCGGGGATGCCCTCAACTCGTTTAATGTCCAAAAACAGAGGGGTGGCCTTATATTCGGGGAGGGGCTTATACTCGGGGAAGTACAGTATTACCCTCACAAGCATGTGTTATTATTCAAATAGTGTCCTCAGTGGCAATTGTAAATAATTGAGTATAGTGCTCTCAGTGGAGATTGTAAAAGAAGAGTATAGTGCCCTCAGTGGCGATTGTAAAAGAAGAGTATAGTGCCCTCAGTGATGATTGTAAACAATGAAAGTTAACGTGTGAATAAAGCATAATATTTAGTATAAACAACAGAATTACTCACTTCTGTGCCTCTATTTAACAGTTCTTTGACTAATGGGAAAACACCCAGTATAACATCTGCTCCACTATTGTCAACAAATATAATAGCCAATTTATGAGGTTGTCCCTGTATAAATAAGTACATGTATTTTAAACCGTCATCTGTGTACACAAACACTGGGTATAGTCTGAGGCGAACGAGTCATTGTCTCTTTCCAGATTTTAGTGACTGAGTCAATTATAAAGAAACAAACAAAGATGTAGGTAGATCATCATCAAATGTTGGTAGAGCATACAGCATAATATCTACAAACAGTGTACAATGCACAAATTGCACAATGTGGCACCTCTTAGTAGTAATAACATCATCCTCGTATTTTATCCTTGTATCGTACAAATAAATTTGAATAATCTACGCATAAGCCGAGTGGAAATTTTAAATCAAAATACAAATACTATACAAAATATCATGCATGTTTTCTATGACAAGTTTGAATAAAATTGGTCCAGGCATTTAGTTAAATTTGATCATAATTTGTCGTCACTTTGTATCTGAGACACATCAAAGGATGTCTCAACTGATGCATGCACAGACTGACACACAGATGGACACATTGATGGATGTCTGAGATGATGCATGCACAGACTGACACACAGATGGACACATCGATGGATGTCTCAGCTGATGCATGCACAGACTGACACACAGATGGACACATCAATGGATGTCTGAGATAATGCATGCACAGACTGACACACAGATGGACACATCAATGGATGTCTGAGATGATGCATGCACATACTGACACACAGATGGACACATCAATGGATGTCTGAGCTGATGCATGCACAGACTGACACACAGATTTACACATTGATGGATGTTTGAGATGATGCATGCACAGACTGACACACAGATGGACACATTGATAGCTGTCTGAGCTGATGCATGCACAGACTGACACACAGAAGGACACATTGATAGATGTCTGAGCTGATGCATGCACAGACAGACACACAGATGGACACATCAATGGATGTCTGAGATGATGCATGCACAGACTGACACACAGATGGACACATCAATGGATGTCTGAGATGATGCATGCACAGACTGACACACAGATGGACACATTAATGGATGTCTGAGATGATGCATGCACATACTGATACAGATGGACACATCAATGGATGTCTCAGCTGATGCATGCACATACTGACACACAGATGGACACATCAATGGATGTCTGAGATGATGCATGCACAGACTGACACACAGATGGACACATCAATGGATGTCAGAGTTGATGCATGCACAGACTGACACACAGAAGGACACATCAATGGATGTCTGAGTTGATGCATGCACAGACTGACACACAAATGGACACATCAATGGATGTCTGAGCTGATGCATGCACAGACTGACACACAGAAGGACACATTGATGGATGTTTGAGATGATGCATGCACAGACTGACAAACAGATGGACACATCAATGGATGTCTCAGCTGATGCATGCACAGACTGACACACAGATGGACACATCGATGGATGTTTGAGCTGATGCATGCACAGACTGACACACAGATGGACACATCAATGGATGTCTGAGATGATGCATGCACAGACTGACACACAGATGGACACATCAATGGATGTCTTAGATGATGCATGCACAGACTGACACACAGATGGACACATCAATGGATGTCTGAGATGATGCATGCACATACTGACACAGATGGACACATCAATGGATGTCTGAGATGATGCATGCACAGACTGACACACAGATGGACACATCAATGGATGTCTGAGATGATGCATGCACATACTGACACACAGATGGACACATCAATGGATGTCTGAGATGATGCATGCACAGACTGACACACAGGACACATTGATGGATATCTGAGATGATGCATGCACAGACTGACACACAGATGGACACATCCGTGATGTCTGAGATGATGCATGCACAGACTGACACACAGATGGACACATTGATGGATGTCTGAGATGATGCTTGCACATACTGACACACAGATGGACACATCGATTGATGTCTGAGATGATGAATGCACATACTGACACACAGATGGACACATTGATGGATGTCTGAGATGATGCTTGCACATACTGACACACAGATGGACACAACAATGGATGTCTGAGATGATGCATGCACAGACTGACACACAGATGGACACATTGATGGATGTCTGATTTGATGCATGCACATACTGACACACAGATGGACACATCAATGGATGTCTGAGTTGATGCATGCACAGACTGACACACAGATGGACACATCAATGGATGTCTGAGTTGATGCATGCACAGACTGACACACAGATGGACACATTGATGGATGTCTGATCTGATGCATGCACATACTGACACACAGATGGACACATCAATGGATGTCTGAGATGATGCATGCACAGACTGACACACAGATGGACACATTGATGGATGTCTGATCTGATGCATGCACATACTGACACACAGATGGACACATCAATGGATGTCTGATTGATGCATGCACAAACTGACACACAGATGGACACATCAATGGATGTCTGAGTTGATGCATGCACAAACTGACACACAGATGGACACATCAATGGATGTCTGAGATGATGCATGCACAGACTGACACACAGATGGACACATCGATGGATGTCTGAGATGATGCATGCACAGACTGACACACAGATGGACACATTGATGGATGTCTGATCTGATGCATGCACATACTGACACACAGATGGACACATCAATGGATGTCTGAGTTGATGCATGCACAAACTGACACACAGATGGACACATCAATGGATGTCTGAGATGATGCATGCACAGACTGACACACAGATGGACACATCGATGGATGTCTCAGCTGATGCATGCACAGACTGACCCATAGAACCCAGAACATACATCTGACTGAGATTAAAATTCAGTAGTGTTGGGAGAGGTAGTTTTGGATAAAAATCATGAAGAAGACGCACTTAGATTTTCAGATCTGGAAAAAAATTACGTGCATATTCGGCAGAGACTTGTTCATCAACCTGCCAAGTTTCATCGATATCTGCTGCAGAATTTCTGAGAAAATGTTGA